ACAAGTTTGTAATCATGGCTCTATACAGATCACCATTGACTGATGGACCAATGATTCCACCAGCCCATAAAGCGCACAAAACATTCAGTTTTTCTGGATGTAACGGTGTTTTGACATACTCTTGAGGGTTAGCTTCACTACAAATGCGGCAGTTTTGATTATTGACGTAGCCATTCAACCAGAAGTGCGTTTCGGGAACAATGGAACTCTCGTTTTGGGCCTATACGACGACTCTACGCCTTGCTTGATGATCGTTTGGCTTCAATTCTTGCACGTTGGATTTTGTAAGCACGCAAACCAAGATCCTTCCGCAAAATCTTCCATAAAGTGGATGGACATAGATTCAATTTCTGTGCTCGATGGCGGATGGACTCATTCGGGTCTTCCTCAATGCTACGCTCTACAGTAGCAATAGCTTCTTCTGTACGCACCGTACGGCGTCTCTGGGGATGCAAATTATCAATAAAAGTAAACGTGGTGCAAAAACGTTCCATGGTTAATCCAATTAACTGCTCTGATGGACGATTTTGTCGACGATAAAATGGACGTAGTGCGCGATACGTATTCCGCACAGAACCATTATTTTGAAAATAAAATAAAAATAAATAAAAATTAAACAAAATAAAAAGTAATGCCAACTTAAAGTTCTATATGTTACCTCTAAAAAAACACACTTTACAATTTCCATGCTTAAACACCACCTAGTATTAAAAACAGACACTGTAATTAAAATTGTTTTTTAAGTGATAGTAATTTAATGAAACAAAATCTTGCCAAAACTGCCAAAATCTTGTATACCTTTTAAAGCTTATTCGGATTGAGTAATTTGTTAATCGTTAATGAATAAGATTGTCTTAGAAAAAAGAAACAAGTGTAAGAAAAATATATTTATTTTCCATAAATAAAAATCAGAAAAACATGTAATTTTTCTCTAGAAAAATATTTGAATTATAAAAATAACTTCATTGAGAAACTTGTTTATTGTAAAGCTAGTTTATTTACAGTTATGTTACATTAGTTTTTGTTTCTTACATTTAAATATTTACTGAAAATTTAAAAAGTAATATCATATAAAATTGTTTTAACAGTAAAATGTAACAAAAATTCATTTTTCGTACCAACCAATCCGACTTACCAAATTTCATAAGGATCGGCCGACTATATCTTATAGCTGTCATATAACTGATTGATCGGAAATGCCATAACTCTGCTGTTTGTTAAGTTAGGAAGTTGGGACTTTCTATGGGTTTTATATTTGGCCAATCAATCCGACTTACCAAATTTCAAAAGGATCGGCCGACTATATCCTATAGCTGCCATATAACTGATTGATCGGAAATGCCATAACTCTGCTGTTTGTTAAGTAAGGAAGTTGGGACTTTCTATGGGTTTTTTATTTGGCCAATTAATCCGACCTACAAAATTTCATAAGGATCGGCGACTATATCCTATAGCTGCCATATAACTGAACGATTGGAAAAGCCATAACTTTGATGTTTTTAAAGTTAGGAAGTTGGGTTTTTTTTTTGAGTATTAAGAATGCATCATATGAATAATTTTGGAGAATATACTTTACAGAGTATTCTGCAAGGGTATATCAACTTCGGCTCCGCCCGAAGTTAGCTTTCCTTTCTTGTTTAAATATATTTTTTTTATCATTTTAGCGCTGGATAAGAGCTCTACCAAACGACAAGTTATCGCCGGCGACAAAGCGCCCAAAATAGTTAGTCACCTGGAATCGAGATTTGTTAAGGATGGCGATGCAGTTACTCTGGCCTGTCGCATTATTGGAGCTGAACATTTCGATGTAGTATGGTTGCACAACAACAAAGAGATAAAGCCAAGCAAGGACTTCCAATACACCAACGAGGCCAATATATATCGATTGCAAATCGCCGAGATTTTCCCCGAAGATGGCGGCACCTACACTTGCGAAGCCTTCAATGATGTAGGCGAATCGTTCAGTACTTGCACAATTAATGTAACAGTGCCTGGAGATGAGCCCAAGCACCCGGCCTTTGTAAAATTCCCCACATCAGTTTCGGTAGTGGAAGGCGAGAGTACTATATTGGAATGCGAAGTAGATTCTGAGCTCCTTAATTTGGTTTGGGTAAAGGATGGCAAGCCCATTGACGAAACTCTTTCACGATACTCATTTACCAAGGACGGCAGCCGATACGCTTTTACAGTTTCAAAATGTAACTTGGACGATGTGGGCCAGTACCAGGCTAAGGCGGTATCCAGAAAGGGCGAAAGTATATGCGCATTCTCAATAAACGTCCACAACTCCGATTGATAAGCCAAATTAGGAAGATAATTCAACGTATCGAACCAACTATTAAAAGCCTGCATATTTATTATATACATATGTTAAGAGTATGCTAAAATTAGACTGCTCATAAAAAGTCGATTTCATCATTCAAACATCTATACACACACATAAGCGTTTATGTATATAAATATATGTAAAGTTTATGCATTTCAACCATATCGACCATAATCCTGGAATATCAGATTCACGTGCACTCCCATAACATGTAGAAATACTATTAATCGAAAATAATATCTAAGCTAACTTCAATATAATTGACTACCCTCACATTTTTATAAATGGCAATAAACTCACAGATTCGGATAGAAAATTAAGAGGCCTCCGCTGCTTGAGTGACTGCTGGCATCCTCAAAAAACATCTTAAACTCAATGGCCACTCAAGTAATTGAAAATTCTAATTCTCTAAAAGACTTCTGTATAACTTACAAAATATAAAGACAAATGTGAACTATGCGGGCAGCAATTGACAGAAAAATAAATGTAATATTTTATAAATAAAAATTATAATCAAATTGTTGGCCAAATTAATTTAGATAATAGACGGGTTTCCTGTTATGGGAGCTCGTGAGAGCTGGAATATAATCAGTTTTGAGGGAATCGATGTTTTTTAACACAATCAAATCAAAATCGTACAAAAATTGTACATTTTCATATTATTTTTATCATTTCTCCGTGTCAACACGGATTTATTAAGCGTAGATCCACAATCACAAACCTTCTAGAGCTTACTACATTTTTTATAAAGGGCTTAAATAGTAGTTTACACTGACTTTAGTAAAGCATTTGACTCTGTAAATCACTTACTTCTAGTTCAAAAACTTGCCCTGTTAAGTTTTCCAGTTGATCTTCTTAGATGGATCTCAAGTTATCTGAATGGCAGGTCACAAAAGGTCTTTTTAAAAATTCAATTTCTAAAATTCTCCGTGTTACCTCCGGTGTCCCACAAGGGAGCCAGAGATAATTTACTAAATTTAAACGGTTCCAAGTGCCAGCTGATGACTTTTTATCGGGTCAATCCGATATACGCGACTTACACATTAAGTGGCAGCTCTTTGGATAGAATAACTCTTGTAAACGATCTCGGCGTTCTCTTGGACCCTAAACTACAATTTTCTAATCACATTTCGTCCATGGTTAATAAAGCCAGAGGAATGCTTGGATTTATTAAAAGGTGGTCAAATGAATTCCTTATTTGACTAAAACTTTATTTCGCTAGTCCGTCCAATTCTGGAGTATGGGTCTCCCGTCTGGAGTCCACAATACGGAATAAATATATATATATATTTTTTTTTTATTTTTGTGCGGAGTCCCACGGCCCATTTACCCGCCCAACCGACCGAGGGGCGGTTGGGCGAGTAAGGAGGACGTGAAACTCCACGAAAAAAAAAAAAAACAACATTTTTATGTTACCCTTTTTTTGACGTTTTATATAGTTTGTTAAGAGGCGCTTGGTACAAAAGCATGGAGTATAATCCAAAATCAAAATTCCCACAGGTTGATATTCTGAAATAGCCTCTAATTGTTCTCGGCTAGTAAAAGTAGTGGTATATTTGTTATTTCTTAATTATATCTGGCTTTCGTATTTTGTACTATTTTTTGGGTCGTTCTTATAACATACGATCTGTGATAAGACATATAGCATATACATATGCTAATCGAATGAAAACTTGGTAAGTTATATCCCGAATTAAAACTGAGAAACCAATTGATGTTAAAACGAACGGACATAACTATACCGCCTCGTCCAGTTATTCCGATCCAGAATATATACTATATATATGGTCGGCAATGTCTCCTAACTCCGTTTAACTTCTGTTTAAACTATAATAAAAGGTGTTTTTTTTAGAGGTATTAAATTTCAATAAAACAACGAAGGATTATTCGAATGACATGCATTTTTTTTATTCGAAAGATAGTCTTGTGGCATTACATTTTAAATATGATTTCTGGCATATGACCGCCACGGCTGGCTCGGATGTAGTCCAATCTGGACGTCCAATTTTCGATGACTTTTTCCAACATTTGTGGCCGTACATCGGCAATAACACGGCAAATGTTGTCTTCCAAATGGTCAAGCGTTTGTTGCTTATCGGAAAGACCAATGACTTTTACATAGCCCCACAGAAAATAGTCTAGTGGTGTTAAATCACAAGATCTTGAAGGCCAATTCACATGTCCTAAACGTGAAATTAGGCGGTCACCAAACGTGTCTTTCAGTAAATCGATTGTGGCACGAGCTGTGTGACATGTTGCGCCGTCTTGTTGGAAGTACAGCTCCTGTAAATCATGGCTGTTCAATTCAGGAATGAACAAGTTTGTAATCATGGCTCTATACAGATCACCATTGACTGATGGACCAATGATTCCACCAGCCCATAAAGCGCACAAAACATTCAGTTTTTCTGGATGTAACGGTGTTTTGACATACTCTTGAGGGTTAGCTTCACTACAAATGCGGCAGTTTTGATTGTTGACGTAGCCATTCAACCAGAAGTGCGTTTCGGGAACAATGGAACTCTCGTTTTGGGCCTATACGACGACTCTACGCCTTGCTTGATGATCGTTTGGCTTCAATTCTTGCACGTTGGATTTTGTAAGCACGCAAACCAAGATCCTTCCGCAAAATCTTCCATAAAGTGGATGGACATAGATTCAATTCCTGTGCTCGATGGCGGATGGACTCATTCGGGTCTTCCTCAATGCTACGCTCTACAGTAGCAATAGCTTCTTCTGTACGCACCGTACGGCGTCTCTGGGGATGCAAATTATCAATAAAAGTAAACGTGGTGCAAAAACGTTCCATGGTTAATCCAATTAACTGCTCTGATGGACGATTTTGTCGACGATAAAATGGACGTAGTGCGCGATACGTATTCCGCACAGAACCATTATTTTGAAAATAAAATAAAAATAAATAAAAATTAAACAAAATAAAAAGTAATGCCAACTTAAAGTTCTATATGTTACCTCTAAAAAACACACTTTACAATTTCCATGCTTAAACTCCACCTAGTATTAAAAACAGACACTGTAATTAAAATTGTTTTTTAAGTGATAGTAATTTAATGAAACAAAATCTTGCCAAAACTGCCAAAATCTTGTATACCTTTTAAAGCTTATTCGGATTGAGTAATTTGTTAATCGTTAATGAATAAGATTGTCTTAGAAAAAAGAAACAAGTGTAAGAAAAATATATTTATTTTCCATAAATAAAAATCAGAAAAACATGTAATTTTTCTCTAGAAAAATATTTGAATTATAAAAATAACTTCATTGAGAAACTTGTTTATTGTAAAGCTAGTTTATTTACAGTTATGTTACATTAGTTTTTGTTTCTTACATTTAAATATTTACTGAAAATTTAAAAAGTAATATCATATAAAATTGTTTTAACAGTAAAATGTAACAAAAATTCATTTTTCGTACCAACCAATCCGACTTACCAAATTTCATAAGGATCGGCCGACTATATCTTATAGCTGTCATATAACTGATTGATCGGAAATGCCATAACTCTGCTGTTTGTTAAGTTAGGAAGTTGGGACTTTCTATGGGTTTTATATTTGGCCAATCAATCCGACTTACCAAATTTCAAAAGGATCGGCCGACTATATCCTATAGCTGCCATATAACTGATTGATCGGAAATGCCATAACTCTGCTGTTTGTTAAGTAAGGAAGTTGGGACTTTCTATGGGTTTTTTATTTGGCCAATTAATCCGACCTACAAAATTTCATAAGGATCGGCGACTATATCCTATAGCTGCCATATAACTGAACGATTGGAAAAGCCATAACTTTGATGTTTTTAAAGTTAGGAAGTTGGGTTTTTTTTTTGAGTATTAAGAATGCATCATATGAATAATTTTGGAGAATATAATTTACAGAGTATTCTGCAAGGGTATATCAACTTCGGCTCCGCCCGAAGTTAGCTTTCCTTTCTTGTTTAAATATATTTTTTTATCATTTTAGCGCTGGATAAGAGCTCTACCAAACGACAAGTTATCGCCGGCGACAAAGCGCCCAAAATAGTTAGTCACCTGGAATCGAGATTTGTTAAGGATGGCGATGCAGTTACTCTGGCCTGTCGCATTATTGGAGCTGAACATTTCGATGTAGTATGGTTGCACAACAACAAAGAGATAAAGCCAAGCAAGGACTTCCAATACACCAACGAGGCCAATATATATCGATTGCAAATCGCCGAGATTTTCCCCGAAGATGGCGGCACCTACACTTGCGAAGCCTTCAATGATGTAGGCGAATCGTTCAGTACTTGCACAATTAATGTAACAGTGCCTGGAGATGAGCCCAAGCACCCGGCCTTTGTAAAATTCCCCACATCAGTTTCGGTAGTGGAAGGCGAGAGTACTATATTGGAATGCGAAGTAGATTCTGAGCTCCTTAATTTGGTTTGGGTAAAGGATGGCAAGCCCATTGACGAAACTCTTTCACGATACTCATTTACCAAGGACGGCAGCCGATACGCTTTTACAGTTTCAAAATGTAACTTGGACGATGTGGGCCAGTACCAGGCTAAGGCGGTATCCAGAAAGGGCGAAAGTATATGCGCATTCTCAATAAACGTCCACAACTCCGATTGATAAGCCAAATTAGGAAGATAATTCAACGTATCGAACCAACTATTAAAAGCCTGCATATTTATTATATACATATGTTAAGAGTATGCTAAAATTAGACTGCTCATAAAAAGTCGATTTCATCATTCAAACATCTATACACACACATAAGCGTTTATGTATATAAATATATGTAAAGTTTATGCATTTCAACCATATCGACCATAATCCTGGAATATCAGATTCACGTGCACTCCCATAACATGTAGAAATACTATTAATCGAAAATAATATCTAAGCTAACTTCAATATAATTGACTACCCTCACATTTTTATAAATGGCAATAAACTCACAGATTCGGATAGAAAATTAAGAGGCCTCCGCTGCTTGAGTGACTGCTGGCATCCTCAAAAAACATCTTAAACTCAATGGCCACTCAAGTAATTGAAAATTCTAATTCTCTAAAAGACTTCTGTATAACTTACAAAATATAAAGACAAATGTGAACTATGCGGGCAGCAATTGACAGAAAAATAAATGTAATATTTTATAAATAAAAATTATAATCAAATTGTTGGCCAAATTAATGTAGATAATAGACGGGTTTCCTGTTATGGGAGCTCGTGAGAGCTGGAATATAATCAGTTTTGAGGGAATCGATGTTTTTTAACACAATCAAATCAAAATCGTACAAAAATTGTACATTTTAATATTATTTTTATCATTTCTCCGTGTCAACACGGATTTATTAAGCGTAGATCCACAATCACAAACCTTCTAGAGCTTACTACATTTTTTATAAAGGGCTTAAATAGTAGTTTACACTGACTTTAGTAAAGCATTTGACTCTGTAAATCACTTACTTCTAGTTCAAAAACTTGCCCTGTTAAGTTTTCCAGTTGATCTTCTTAGATGGATCTCAAGTTATCTGAATGGCAGGTCACAAAAGGTCTTTTTAAAAATTCAATTTCTAAAATTCTCCGTGTTACCTCCGGTGTCCCACAAGGGAGCCAGAGATAATTTACTAAATTTAAACGGTTCCAAGTGCCAGCTGATGACTTTTTATCGGGTCAATCCGATATACGCGACTTACACATTAAGTGGCAGCTCTTTGGATAGAATAACTCTTGTAAACGATCTCGGCGTTCTCTTGGACCCTAAACTACAATTTTCTAATCACATTTCGTCCATGGTTAATAAAGCCAGAGGAATGCTTGGATTTATTAAAAGGTGGTCAAATGAATTCCTTATTTGACTAAAACTTTATTTCGCTAGTCCGTCCAATTCTGGAGTATGGGTCTCCCGTCTGGAGTCCACAATACGGAATAAATATATATATTTTTTTTTTTTTTTTTGTGCGGAGTCCCACGGCCCACTTACCCGCCCAACCGACCGAGGGGCGGTTGGGCGAGTAAGGAGGACGTGAAACTCCACGAAAAAAAAAAAAAAAAACATTTTTATGTTACCCTTTTTTTGACGTTTTATATAGTTTGTTAAGAGGCGCTTGGTACAAAAGCATGGAGTATAATCCAAAATCAAAATTCCCACAGGTTGATATTCTGAAATAGCCTCTAATTGTTCTCGGCTAGTAAAAGTAGTGGTATATTTGTTATTTCTTAATTATATCTGGCTTTCGTATTTTGTACTATTTTTTGGGTCGTTCTTATAACATACGATCTGTGATAAGACATATAGCATATACATATGCTAATCGAATGAAAACTTGGTAAGTTATATCCCGAATTAAAACTGAGAAACCAATTGATGTTAAAACGAACGGACATAACTATACCGCCTCGTCCAGTTATTCCGATCCAGAATATATACTATATATATGGTCGGCAATGTCTCCTAACTCCGTTTAACTTCTGTTTAAACTATAATAAAAGGTGTTTTTTTTAGAGGTATTAAATTTCAATAAAACAACGAAGGATGATTTGAATGACATGCATTTTTTTTATTCGAAAGATAGTCTTGTGGCATTACATTTTAAATATGATTTCTGGCATATGACCGCCACGGCTGGCTCGGATGTAGTCCAATCTGGACGTCCAATTTTCGATGACTTTTTCCAACATTTGTGGCCGTACATCGGCAATAACACGGCAAATGTTGTCTTCCAAATGGTCAAGCGTTTGTTGCTTATCGGAAAGACCAATGACTTTTACATAGCCCCACAGAAAATAGTCTAGTGGTGTTAAATCACAAGATCTTGAAGGCCAATTCACATGTCCTAAACGTGAAATTAGGCGGTCACCAAACGTGTCTTTCAGTAAATCGATTGTGGCACGAGCTGTGTGACATGTTGCGCCGTCTTGTTGGAAGTACAGCTCCTGTAAATCATGGCTGTTCAATTCAGGAATGAACAAGTTTGTAATCATGGCTCTATACAGATCACCATTGACTGATGGACCAATGATTCCACCAGCCCATAAAGCGCACAAAACATTCAGTTTTTCTGGATGTAACGGTGTTTTGACATACTCTTGAGGGTTAGCTTCACTACAAATGCGGCAGTTTTGATTGTTGACGTAGCCATTCAACCAGAAGTGCGTTTCGGGAACAATGGAACTCTCGTTTTGGGCCTATACGACGACTCTACGCCTTGCTTGATGATCGTTTGGCTTCAATTCTTGCACGTTGGATTTTGTAAGCACGCAAACCAAGATCCTTCCGCAAAATCTTCCATAAAGTGGATGGACATAGATTCAATTCCTGTGCTCGATGGCGGATGGACTCATTCGGGTCTTCCTCAATGCTACGCTCTACAGTAGCAATAGCTTCTTCTGTACGCACCGTACGGCGTCTCTGGGGATGCAAATTATCAATAAAAGTAAACGTGGTGCAAAAACGTTCCATGGTTAATCCAATTAACTGCTCTGATGGACGATTTTGTCGACGATAAAATGGACGTAGTGCGCGATACGTATTCCGCACAGAACCATTATTTTGAAAATAAAATAAAAATAAATAAAAATTAAACAAAATAAAAAGTAATGCCAACTTAAAGTTCTATATGTTACCTCTAAAAAAACACACTTTACAATTTCCATGCTTAAACACCACCTAGTATTAAAAACAGACACTGTAATTAAAATTGTTTTTTAAGTGATAGTAATTTAATGAAACAAAATCTTGCCAAAACTGCCAAAATCTTGTATACCTTTTAAAGCTTATTCGGATTGAGTAATTTGTTAATCGTTAATGAATAAGATTGTCTTAGAAAAAAGAAACAAGTGTAAGAAAAATATATTTATTTTCCATAAATAAAAATCAGAAAAACATGTAATTTTTCTCTAGAAAAATATTTGAATTATAAAAATAACTTCATTGAGAAACTTGTTTATTGTAAAGCTAGTTTATTTACAGTTATGTTACATTAGTTTTTGTTTCTTACATTTAAATATTTACTGAAAATTTAAAAAGTAATATCATATAAAATTGTTTTAACAGTAAAATGTAACAAAAATTCATTTTTCGTACCAACCAATCCGACTTACCAAATTTCATAAGGATCGGCCGACTATATCTTATAGCTGTCATATAACTGATTGATCGGAAATGCCATAACTCTGCTGTTTGTTAAGTTAGGAAGTTGGGACTTTCTATGGGTTTTATATTTGGCCAATCAATCCGACTTACCAAATTTCAAAAGGATCGGCCGACTATATCCTATAGCTGCCATATAACTGATTGATCGGAAATGCCATAACTCTGCTGTTTGTTAAGTAAGGAAGTTGGGACTTTCTATGGGTTTTTTATTTGGCCAATTAATCCGACCTACAAAATTTCATAAGGATCGGCGACTATATCCTATAGCTGCCATATAACTGAACGATTGGAAAAGCCATAACTTTGATGTTTTTAAAGTTAGGAAGTTGGGTTTTTTTTTTTGAGTATTAAGAATGCATCATATGAATAATTTTGGAGAATATAATTTACAGAGTATTCTGCAAGGGTATATCAACTTCGGCTCCGCCCGAAGTTAGCTTTCCTTTCTTGTTTAAATATATTTTTTTATCATTTTAGCGCTGGATAAGAGCTCTACCAAACGACAAGTTATCGCCGGCGACAAAGCGCCCAAAATAGTTAGTCACCTGGAATCGAGATTTGTTAAGGATGGCGATGCAGTTACTCTGGCCTGTCGCATTATTGAAGCTGAACATTTCGATGTAGTATGGTTGCACAACAACAAAGAGATAAAGCCAAGCAAGGACTTCCAATACACCAACGAGGCCAATATATATCGATTGCAAATCGCCGAGATTTTCCCCGAAGATGGCGGCACCTACACTTGCGAAGCCTTCAATGATGTAGGCGAATCGTTCAGTACTTGCACAATTAATGTAACAGTGCCTGGAGATGAGCCCAAGCACCCGGCCTTTGTAAAATTCCCCACATCAGTTTCGGTAGTGGAAGGCGAGAGTACTATATTGGAATGCGAAGTAGATTCTGAGCTCCTTAATTTGGTTTGGGTAAAGGATGGCAAGCCCATTGACGAAACTCTTTCACGATACTCATTTACCAAGGACGGCAGCCGATACGCTTTTACAGTTTCAAAATGTAACTTGGACGATGTGGGCCAGTACCAGGCTAAGGCGGTATCGAGAAAGGGCGAAAGTATATGCGCATTCTCAATAAACGTCCACAACTCCGATTGATAAGCCAAATTAGGAAGATAATTCAACGTATCGAACCAACTATTAAAAGCCTGCATATTTATTATATACATATGTTAAGAGTATGCTAAAATTAGACTGCTCATAAAAAGTCGATTTCATCATTCAAACATCTATACACATAATAAAATATATGTAAAGTTTATGCATTTCAACCATATCGACCATAATCCTGGAATATCAGATTCACGTGCACTCCCATAACATGTAGAAATACTATTAATCGAAAATAATATCTAAGCTAACTTCAATATAATTGACTACCCTCACATTTTTATAAATGGCAATAAACTCACAGATTCGGATAGAAAATTAAGAGGCCTCCGCTGCTTGAGTGACTGCTGGCATCCTCAAAAAACATCTTAAACTCAATGGCCACTCAAGTAATTGAAAATTCTAATTCTCTAAAAGACTTCTGTATAACTTACAAAATATAAAGACAAATGTGAACTATGCGGGCAGCAATTGACAGAAAAATAAATGTAATATTTTATAAATAAAAATTATAATCAAATTGTTGGCCAAATTAATTTAGATAATAGACGGGTTTCCTGTTATGGGAGCTCGTGAGAGCTGGAATATAATCAGTTTTGAGGGAATCGATGTTTTTTAACACAATCAAATCAAAATCGTACAAAAATTGTACATTTTAATATTATTTTTATCATTTCTCCGTGTCAACACGGATTTATTAAGCGTAGATCCACAATCACAAACCTTCTAGAGCTTACTACATTTTTTATAAAGGGCTTAAATAGTAGTTTACACTGACTTTAGTAAAGCATTTGACTCTGTAAATCACTTACTTCTAGTTCAAAAACTTGACCTGTTAAGTTTTCCAGTTGATCTTCTTAGATGGATCTCAAGTTATCTGAATGGCAGGTCACAAAAGGTCTTTTTAAAAATTCAATTTCTAAAATTCTCCGTGTTACCTCCGGTGTCCCACAAGGGAGCCAGAGATAATTTACTAAATTTAAACGGTTCCAAGTGCCAGCTGATGACTTTTTATCGGGTCAATCCGATATACGCGACTTACACATTAAGTGGCAGCTCTTTGGATAGAATAACTCTTGTAAACGATCTCGGCGTTCTCTTGGACCCTAAACTACAATTTTCTAATCACATTTCGTCCATGGTTAATAAAGCCAGAGGAATGCTTGGATTTATTAAAAGGTGGTCAAATGAATTCCTTATTTGACTAAAACTTTATTTCGCTAGTCCGTCCAATTCTGGAGTATGGGTCTCCCGTCTGGAGTCCACAATACGGAATAAATATATATATTTTTTTTTTTTTTTTGTGCGGAGTCCCACGGCCCATTACCCGCCCAACCGACCGAGGGGCGGTTGGGCGAGTAAGGAGGACGTGAAACTCCACGAAAAAAAAAAAAAACAACATTTTTATGTTACCCTTTTTTTGACGTTTTATATAGTTTGTTAAGAGGCGCTTGGTACAAAAGCATGGAGTATAATCCAAAATCAAAATTCCCACAGGTTGATATTCTGAAATAGCCTCTAATTGTTCTCGGCTAGTAAAAGTAGTGGTATATTTGTTATTTCTTAATTATATCTGGCTTTCGTATTTTGTACTATTTTTTGGGTCGTTCTTATAACATACGATCTGTGATAAGACATATAGCATATACATATGCTAATCGAATGAAAACTTGGTAAGTTATATCCCGAATTAAAACTGAGAAACCAATTGATGTTAAAACGAACGGACATAACTATACCGCCTCGTCCAGTTATTCCGATCCAGAATATATACTATATATATGGTCGGCAATGTCTCCTAACTCCGTTTAACTTCTGTTTAAACTATAATAAAAGGTGTTTTTTTTAGAGGTATTAAATTTCAATAAAACAACGAAGGATGATTTGAATGACATGCATTTTTTTTATTCGAAAGATAGTCTTGTGGCATTACATTTTAAATATGATTTCTGGCATATGACCGCCACGGCTGGCTCGGATGTAGTCCAATCTGGACGTCCAATTTTCGATGACTTTTTCCAACATTTGTGGCCGTACATCGGCAATAACACGGCAAATGTTGTCTTCCAAATGGTCAAGCGTTTGTTGCTTATCGGAAAGACCAATGACTTTTACATAGCCCCACAGAAAATAGTCTAGTGGTGTTAAATCACAAGATCTTGAAGGCCAATTCACATGTCCTAAACGTGAAATTAGGCGGTCACCAAACGTGTCTTTCAGTAAATCGATTGTGGCACGAGCTGTGTGACATGTTGCGCCGTCTTGTTGGAAGTACAGCTCCTGTAAATCATGGCTGTTCAATTCAGGAATGAACAAGTTTGTAATCATGGCTCTATACAGATCACCATTGACTGATGGACCAATGATTCCACCAGCCCATAAAGCGCACAAAACATTCAGTTTTTCTGGATGTAACGGTGTTTTGACATACTCTTGAGGGTTAGCTTCACTACAAATGCGGCAGTTTTGATTGTTGACGTAGCCATTCAACCAGAAGTGCGTTTCGGGAACAATGGAACTCTCGTTTTGGGCCTATACGACGACTCTACGCCTTGCTTGATGATCGTTTGGCTTCAATTCTTGCACGTTGGATTTTGTAAGCACGCAAACCAAGATCCTTCCGCAAAATCTTCCATAAAGTGGATGGACATAGATTCAATTCCTGTGCTCGATGGCGGATGGACTCATTCGGGTCTTCCTCAATGCTACGCTCTACAGTAGCAATAGCTTCTTCTGTACGCACCGTACGGCGTCTCTGGGGATGCAAATTATCAATAAAAGTAAACGTGGTGCAAAAACGTTCCATGGTTAATCCAATTAACTGCTCTGATGGACGATTTTGTCGACGATAAAATGGACGTAGTGCGCGATACGTATTCCGCACAGAACCATTATTTTGAAAATAAAATAAAAATAAATAAAAATTAAACAAAATAAAAAGTAATGCCAACTTAAAGTTCTATATGTTACCTCTAAAAAAACACACTTTACAATTTCCATGCTTAAACACCACCTAGTATTAAAAACAGACACTGTAATTAAAATTGTTTTTTAAGTGATAGTAATTTAATGAAACAAAATCTTGCCAAAACTGCCAAAATCTTGTATACCTTTTAAAGCTTATTCGGATTGAGTAATTTGTTAATCGTTAATGAATAAGATTGTCTTAGAAAAAAGAAACAAGTGTAAGAAAAATATATTTATTTTCCATAAATAAAAATCAGAAAAACATGTAATTTTTCTCTAGAAAAATATTTGAATTATAAAAATAACTTCATTGAGAAACTTGTTTATTGTAAAGCTAGTTTATTTACAGTTATGTTACATTAGTTTTTGTTTCTTACATTTAAATATTTACTGAAAATTTAAAAAGTAATATCATATAAAATTGTTTTAACAGTAAAATGTAACAAAAATTCATTTTTCGTACCAACCAATCCGACTTACCAAATTTCATAAGGATCGCCGACTATATCTTATAGCTGTCATATAACTGATTGATCGGAAATGCCATAACTCTGCTGTTTGTTAAGTTAGGAAGTTGGGACTTTCTATGGGTTTTATATTTGGCCAATCAATCCGACTTACCAAATTTCAAAAGGATCGGCCGACTATATCCTATAGCTGCCATATAACTGATTGATCGGAAATGCCATAACTCTGCTGTTTGTTAAGTAAGGAAGTTGGGACTTTCTATGGGTTTTTTATTTGGCCAATTAATCCGACCTACAAAATTTCATAAGGATCGGCGACTATATCCTATAGCTGCCATATAACTGAACGATTGGAAAAGCCATAACTTTGATGTTTTTAAAGTTAGGAAGTTGGGTTTTTTTTTTTGAGTATTAAGAATGCATCATATGAATAATTTTGGAGAATATAATTTACAGAGTATTCTGCAAGGGTATATCAACTTCGGCTCCGCCCGAAGTTAGCTTTCCTTTCTTGTTTAAATATATTTTTTTTATCATTTTAGCGCTGGATAAGAGCTCTACCAAACGACAAGTTATCGCCGGCGACAAAGCGCCCAAAATAGTTAGTCACCTGGAATCGAGATTTGTTAAGGATGGCGATGCAGTTACTCTGGCCTGTCGCATTATTGAAGCTGAACATTTCGATGTAGTATGGTTGCACAACAACAAAGAGATAAAGCCAAGCAAGGACTTCCAATACACCAACGAGGCCAATATATATCGATTGCAAATCGCCGAGATTTTCCCCGAAGATGGCGGCACCTACACTTGCGAAGCCTTCAATGATGTAGGCGAATCGTTCAGTACTTGCACAATTAATGTAACAGTGCCTGGAGATGAGCCCAAGCACCCGGCCTTTGTAAAATTCCCCACATCAGTTTCGGTAGTGGAAGGCGAGAGTACTATATTGGAATGCGAAGTAGATTCTGAGCTCCTTAATTTGGTTTGGGTAAAGGATGGCAAGCCCATTGACGAAACTCTTTCACGATACTCATTTACCAAGGACGGCAGCCGATACGCTTTTACAGTTTCAAAATGTAACTTGGACGATGTGGGCCAGTACCAGGCTAAGGCGGTATCGAGAAAGGGCGAAAGTATATGCGCATTCTCAATAAACGTCCACAACTCCGATTGATAAGCCAAATTAGGAAGATAATTCAACGTATCGAACCAACTATTAAAAGCCTGCATATTTATTATATACATATGTTAAGAGTATGCTAAAATTAGACTGCTCATAAAAAGTCGATTTCATCATTCAAACATCTATACACATAATAAAATATATGTAAAGTTTATGCATTTCAACCATATCGACCATAATCCTGGAATATCAGATTCACGTGCACTCCCATAACATGTAGAAATACTATTAATCGAAAATAATATCTAAGCTAACTTCAATATAATTGACTACCCTCACATTTTTATAAATGGCAATAAACTCACAGATTCGGATAGAAAATTAAGAGGCCTCCGCTGCTTGAGTGACTGCTGGCATCCTCAAAAAACATCTTAAACTCAATGGCCACTCAAGTAATTGAAAATTCTAATTCTCTAAAAGACTTCTGTATAACTTACAAAATATAAAGACAAATGTGAACTATGCGGGCAGCAATTGACAGAAAAATAAATGTAATATTTTATAAATAAAAATTATAATCAAATTGTTGGCCAAATTAATTTAGATAATAGACGGGTTTCCTGTTATGGGAGCTCGTGAGAGCTGGAATATAATCAGTTTTGAGGGAATCGATGTTTTTTAACACAATCAAATCAAAATCGTACAAAAATTGTACATTTTAATATTATTTTTATCATTTCTCCGTGTCAACACGGATTTATTAAGCGTAGATCCACAATCACAAACCTTCTAGAGCTTACTACATTTTTTATAAAGGACTTAAATAGTAGTTTACACTGACTTTAGTAAAGCATTTGACTCTGTAAATCACTTACTTCTAGTTCAAAAACTTGACCTGTTAAGTTTTCCAGTTGATCTTCTTAGATGGATCTCAAGTTATCTGAATGGCAGGTCACAAAAGGTCTTTTTAAAAATTCAATTTCTAAAATTCTCCGTGTTACCTCCGGTGTCCCACAAGGGAGCCAGAGATAATTTACTAAATTTAAACGGTTCCAAGTGCCAGCTGATGACTTTTTATCGGGTCAATCCGATATACGCGACTTACACATTAAGTGGCAGCTCTTTGGATAGAATAACTCTTGTAAACGATCTCGGCGTTCTCTTGGACCCTAAACTACAATTTTCTAATCACATTTCGTCCATGGTTAATAAAGCCAGAGGAATGCTTGGATTTATTAAAAGGTGGTCAAATGAATTCCTTATTTGACTAAAACTTTATTTCGCTAGTCCGTCCAATTCTGGAGTATGGGTCTCCCGTCTGGAGTCCACAATACGGAACAAATATATATATATATATTTTTTTTTTTATTTTTGTGCGGAGTCCCACGGCCTACTTACCCGCCCAACCGACCGAGGGGCGGTTGGGCGAGTAAGGAGAACGTGAAACTCCACGAAAAAAAAAAAAAAACAACATTTTTATGTTACCCTTTTTTTGACGTTTTATATAGTTTGTTAAGAGGCGCTTGGTACAAAAGCATGGAGTATAATCCAAAATCAAAATTCCCACAGGTTGATATTCTGAAATAGCCTCTAATTGTTCTCGGCTAGTAAAAGTAGTGGTATATTTGTTATTTCTTAATTATATCTGGCTTTCGTATTTTGTACTATTTTTTGGGTCGTTCTTATAACATACGATCTGTGATAAGACATATAGCATATACATATGCTAATCGAATGAAAACTTGGTAAGTTATATCCCGAATTAAAACTGAGAAACCAATTGATGTTAAAACGAACGGACATAACTATACCGCCTCGTCCAGTTATTCCGATCCAGAATATATACTATATATATGGTCGGCAATGTCTCCTAACTCCGTTTAACTTCTGTTTAAACTATAATAAAAGGTGTTTTTTTTAGAGGTATTAAATTTCAATAAAACAACGAAGGATTATTCGAATAACATGCATTTTTTTTATTCGAAAGATAGTCTTGTGGCATTACATTTTAAATATGATTTCTGGCATATGACCGCCACGGCTGGCTCGGATGTAGTCCAATCTGGACGTCCAATTTTCGATGACTTTTTCCAACATTTGTGGCCGTACATCGGCAATAACACGGCAAATGTTGTCTTCCAAATGGTCAAGCGTTTGTTGCTTATCGGAAAGACCAATGACTTTTACATAGCCCCACAGAAAATAGTCTAGTGGTGTTAAATCACAAGATCTTGAAGGCCAATTCACATGTCCTAAACGTGAAATTAGGCGGTCACCAAACGTGTCTTTCAGTAAATCGATTGTGGCACGAGCTGTGTGACATGTTGCGCCGTCTTGTTGGAAGTACAGCTCCTGTAAATCATGGCTGTTCAATTCAGGAATGAACAAGTTTGTAATCATGGCTCTATACAGATCACCATTGACTGATGGACCAATGATTCCACCAGCCCATAAAGCGCACAAAACATTCAGTTTTTCTGGATGTAACGGTGTTTTGACATACTCTTGAGGGTTAGCTTCACTACAAATGCGGCAGTTTTGATTGTTGACGTAGCCATTCAACCAGAAGTGCGTTTCGGGAACAATGGAACTCTCGTTTTGGGCCTATACGACGACTCTACGCCTTGCTTGATGATCGTTTGGCTTCAATTCTTGCACGTTGGATTTTGTAAGCACGCAAACCAAGATCCTTCCGCAAAATCTTCCATAAAGTGGATGGACATAGATTCAATTTCTGTGCTCGATGGCGGATGGACTCATTCGGGTCTTCCTCAATGCTACGCTCTACAGTAGCAATAGCTTCTTCTGTACGCACCGTACGGCGTCTCTGGGGATGCAAATTATCAATAAAAGTAAACGTGGTGCAAAAACGTTCCATGGTTAATCCAATTAACTGCTCTGATGGACGATTTTGTCGACGATAAAATGGACGTAGTGCGCGATACGTATTCCGCACAGAACCATTATTTTGAAAATAAAATAAAAATAAATAAAAATTAAACAAAATAAAAAGTAATGCCAACTTAAAGTTCTATATGTTACCTCTAAAAAAACACACTTTACAATTTCCATGCTTAAACACCACCTAGTATTAAAAACAGACACTGTAATTAAAATTGTTTTTTAAGTGATAGTAATTTAATGAAACAAAATCTTGCCAAAACTGCCAAAATCTTGTATACCTTTTAAAGCTTATTCGGATTGAGTAATTTGTTAATCGTTAATGAATAAGATTGTCTTAGAAAAAAGAAACAAGTGTAAGAAAAATATATTTATTTTCCATAAATAAAAATCAGAAAAACATGTAATTTTTCTCTAGAAAAATATTTGAATTATAAAAATAACTTCATTGAGAAACTTGTTTATTGTAAAGCTAGTTTATTTACAGTTATGTTACATTAGTTTTTGTTTCTTACATTTAAATATTTACTGAAAATTTAAAAAGTAATATCATATAAAATTGTTTTAACAGTAAAATGTAACAAAAATTCATTTTTCGTACGCAACTATTTTTTCTTTTATAGTTTATTTTTTTAGTCCTGGCTAACTTCTAATTAACCAAAAGTGCTGTGAACTAATCAAAACTGACTAAGTATGCACAACACAAGATTTTAATTAAAATGATAATAATTTTTCAAATGTTTATTTCGCAACACGCTTTTACATTTTCTTCTTTTTGTTTTGGATATGCTATCACACAGCGCGAGTAAAACGTTGAATTTATTCAAGCAAAACGTAAGGCAGAACGATTAAGGGCTCATTGTTGTAGGATTTTAATTGGAGAACTTGATGCCATTCTTGAAATTGTTGAATTCTGGTAGGTGCAGCGTCTGAAGATGATCGAATCCCAGTGCGGTACTCTACGCCGATTAATGGCAATTTAATCGTTGACTCTGCAGAATCGATAGAATACCGTCTCTTGTTACTGAATTCATTGCTTAAATCTACACCTAAGTGGTTATTGTTACTATTACTAACATCAGAATTCTCATTTCTTAGTAATTCGAGCGATGCTAGGGGCGGGGACGTTTCCATACTGACTTCAGGAACCGCCTTTGGTTTCGTTAGCAGACGATCAGCATATAATGAATTAAAAGATTGCAGCATGCTGTTGTTTCGAAAATCGTTCAGTTCATCAACGAGTTTCACGGTGTCGGAAACTTCTTGAATTACTTCTTGTTCATCTAAATCGCCATCGCTTAATAAAGTTAAACATGAATCTTCATCGCTTTCAAATTGTACTTCCGAAACCGATGCTGCGGCACTCGTTTCAGTCTTAATATTTAAATTACATATATCAAACGTTGAAAGTGTTTTTGCTTCTTCTTCCCCCTTTGAGGAGGTATTTTCCACTTCGCTATCATCGTCAAAGCTTGAGCTGCTGCTACTGCTATAATTTAATACTCTCTCTTTTCTACCTGCAGAGTTCTCCCTGCACAATTCCTGGGGGAAAAACAGTTTATGATGAAGCTTTGTATCCGAAGAAGAATCTGTTGACTTTGGTTTACAATGGAACAAATGTTTTAGTTCTAAATCAATAGTCTTACTTTGACGTTTATGGTGTTTTCGACATGTGCGGCGATAGCGGTAATGCCTGCGTCGAGGGGACAGCTTGCTCGTTTTCGATATTAAATTGTCTTTTTTCAGTGAAATTTCATTTGTATTTTGTGATATAGTTGTATGTTCCTGATTAGAGTTGGGAATCGTTTTTTTTACGTTTACCATATCTGAATTTGTATTTGGCGAAACTGCAGTCATTGAGTTTGCTGGAGAGTTAATTTTACTTGGAGTTTTTTTTATTGTCAATACAATATGATTGCTGCAAGCTTCACCATCCCCTATTGAGCGTTGTACAACTGCATACTCTTCGTTATTGCCGTTTTCAAATTCATTCTCTGCTTCATTGTCACTATCACTACTGTTATTATTACTACTCGGATTTGAAAAGGTGCCATTCAAGGCAATCCTAATCCGTTTAACTGGCCCATTAAATTCATTGCGTTCACGTTTCTTGTTTATCGTAAAATCCATCGCATTTATTTTTTTATTTTTTCGAGTTGTCTCTAATTTTGTGACGGTAGACTGAGTCCTATGATTTCGCAGCTTTTTATTTATGGAGTCTTGAGTTTCTTTTAAACTGTAATAACTACAGGTACTGGAAATACTATCACTGTAGGGACTGTTATCCTGGGATTCATGGTCGCTGCTTTTGTCGCTTACTTCAGCATCTCCAAACTGTGCTTCACCATTAGCCAGTTTTAATAAATTATAGCTGAAATCATTTTCGGAGCACGAATCAAAAATTGAGTTAGACAATGGCGATTTTTTGATGTTGGAATAGACTTTCATTGGCACGTAGTTTTCATTATGGCTATTCATACCAGTAATCGGAACATCAATATTAACCTTCAGCGGACTGGAACTTTTATGTTCTATGTTATTTTCGGGCCCTTCAACACTTTTCGAAATCGCATCAGGAGTAGACGATGACTTTACCCACTCTTTAAACCTGTGACGAGCACGACGACACGTTGGTAAACACTTTGCAACGCCGAGAAACGGTGTCATATAACATCTATAAGGTTTCGCCTTAAAAGGTTTAATAAATTTTAAAGAACTCAGATCTTTTCTTATTCGATCTGATGTAAGAAGTCCATATTTGGGAACTACATCAGCTCCGTTAGTCACTGTGTATGACTTTAAGATATGATCAACGTTGGTTTCTGATTGAAAACTAGAAGATGAATCAACACTATCCCAATTACCGTTTATGTTTGGTATATAGAAATTATGCAATGCATTTATGTGGAAGTTGTTAACTTTGTTGGTTTGAACATAAAATCTTTGTTTTGCTACGCAATCGGGATCTTCGTGAACTGTGAAAACAGGAAGAACTACGCTGCTTTCTATTTCTTGATTGGAGTTGTCAAGCTGAGCATCGGCGTTAAAATTTATCAAATTTAGGGAATCATTATTTGTAGATAAAATAACCGATACGTTTTTGGTATCTGAGCTTTTTTTTATTATTTCCTCCACCTTAATAATTGGTTTTTGGATTTCATCCATTATAGAATGCAGGGGATCGTCGTTATCATCGAAATCTAGATCAAATATGGACTTTACTGGTTTTGGTTGAGTGGCACCTACTTCTTCATTATCCGAACGTTCCACAGAAAACAATTTTTCTTCATTTTTGTGGCGAGAAATGTTCTCTTTATGATTTAAAATAGTTTTTGGATCGTTCGTATCAATATCTGATGTTGAAATCAACTCTCCAACTGTACTTTGAACTTCTTCGATAACTATGCAAGTACACGGTACTATTTGAGCTTGGTAAAGTTTCTCAATCTCAAATTCACTCAGAGGGCTGTTTAAACTGTTAATTAGGTGCATTAGTTGAGTGGTAATATCATGTAAATTTTTCGGCATCAAGTTTTTCAAATTTCGTTCTAAAGGCAGGGTCTGAATAGAGTTGCTATTGCTTTCCACTGAAGTACATTCCTTAATTTCTTGTGATTTATTACTATCGTGAGATGGTTCTGAGGTGACAGTATCACTATCCGTATTTGCAGGATCTGTAAAGTAAAAAATGTGTAATGTATTAAAAAAAAAACAAGAAAACTAACTTCGGATATCCAAAGTTGATATACCTTGCAGGTTTCCATTTATAAAACAAGAGAGAACGCTATAGTCGGGTGCCCCGACTATCAGATACCCGTTACTCAGGTAAAAGGAGTGCGAGGGAGATGGAGATAGAAATTTTGATCACGCATAACTTTTTAACGAATGGTCCGATTTGAAAAATTTCTTCTACATTTCGATAGGTATTGATAAACACAATAAAACTGCATTTTTACTTTTTCGAAATATTTAAATTTTTAAAATCGTATATAAGCGATTGTGGGCGTTAAAGGGGGCGTGGCACCATTTTGAAACAAACTTGCGCTGCGTAGGAACTCCTAGAATCTGCTTGCAAAATGCCAATCTTCTAGCTTTTATAGTTTCCGAGATCTCAGCGTTCATACGGACAGACAGACGGACAGACGGACATGGCTATATCGACTCGGCTAGTGACCCTGATCAAGAATATATATACTTTATAGGGTCGGAAACGCTTCCTTCTAGCTGTTACATACTTTTGCACGAATACAATATACCCTTTTACTCTACGAGTAACGGGTATAATAAATGATACTTTATTAAATTTCCTCCTGCTATGGTAATTTCGATCTTAAATTGCCAAAAATGGACTTGTCATTGAAAACGGATTTACGAAGATTTTCATAAAAATAGGACGATTTTTCATACAGCCGCTAATGAATATACAGTATATACTTGAAATACAAAGAAGAGTTATAGTAAAGTTTCATCCAAATAGCTATAAACTTGAGACCAACGAAAGATGGGCCTGCTTAGATCCATTCGGCTCATATTCCTGAATTATATTTTAAATACATAAGCGAAATTCTCTTTCAATGCATTTCAAACTTGAATAAAACTATATTTAAACAAGAAAGGATGAAAAATTCGGCAAGCCGAAGCTTATATACCCTTGCAATTTAAACTAGCTCGGTAATGGCACGGAAGTCACTTTAGTTTTTTAATCATTTATAATAAAGGTCTAAAAGTATTCTGTGAAAAATATTTCGTCTTCAGCAGTTATCAATCGGAAATAATAGCGTTACGTTATACACTTTTTTCGGACGTTGATGCACTATGATCAGCGCAAACAAGTGGCCCTTACGACACCAAACAGTGCTTGTTACGCGCGGAGCCCTATTCCCCAATGGGCGTAAAAACTAGATCGCGAGAAGTGATAAAGGACAATATAGAAGCGGACAGACTAATACTAATTTTGTGCTAAGTAAGATAAAATTAATGCTTTTAGGATTGGCAAAGAGTCGGTATTAGAAATAGCATGGTATAGTCTATTATATTCGTTACACAGTACTCCAAACGGTTCATGCATATCATAGTTAGATCTACAAATATTTAAAGCAAGAGGAACATAGTTCCTGGTAGTTCTATTAGGCACAGTAACTCGGGACTCTCCACATCCCCGTGAATAAGTTTATAATTAAAAGTTGTGCCAAGCATCGTTCTACGGTTCACTAAGGATGGTAGATTAATTAGGAGAAGTAAAATAAGGTAATGGTAAAATAAGGCTTGCATTCCAGTTAAGGCACCGTTTTGCACAGACTCTATCCGGTCTACATGTACACCATACTGAGGATTCCACACTGCTGAACAGTACTCCAGGATTTGACGGGCTAGTGAAATAAACAGAGTCTTTGTAACATAGATCCCTATGTCGAATTCTATCGAATTCCTTAGACCACCTTTTAATAAATCCAAGTACTCCCCTGGCTTTATTCACCATGGAAGTAATATGGTTACAAAACTTAAGTTTTGGGTCAAGAAGGACGCCAAGGTCATCAACATGCGTGATTCTAGACAACGCACAACCACCCAGCGTATACGTGGCATATTGTGGGTTCACACCAAAAATGTCATTAAATCCAAAAGATTTTCACAACACCATGCTTGAAAAGCATTTAGGTCCGATTGTAAGTCTGAGCTGCTGGAAATTTCGGCATAACTTAACGTCATCTGCGTACATGAGGACACGCGACTTTGTCAAGATTAAAGGGAGATCGTTTATAAATAAAGTAAAAAGAAGTGGGCCAAGGTTGCTTCCTTGTGGGACGCCTGAAGTAACTCGGATCAAATTAGAGATAGAGTTTTTAAAGAGGACTCGTTGAGTCCTACCACTTAGATAACTTAAGATCCATGTTAGAAGATCACATGGAAACTTTAATAAGTCTAGCTTTAATACAATAAGTGATTTACTGAATCAAACGCTTGCAAGTGGGGTGTAAAAACGTTTTCGAAAGGCTTTGCGATGGCGTATAATTTGGATATGCCTCTGTAATTGCTTGTATTCGATTTATTTCCTTTCTTATGAAGGGGAATAACAAATGACTCTTTTTAAATAAGTGGGAAATGAGAAGTTTCCAAAGATAAGGTAACAAATTTGTGCAGAGGTTTACACAGAGTTTCAGCACAATATCTAAGCAGACAGCCTGGAACTCCGTTGGGATCCGGTTAATAGACTGGTTTAACTTTATGGAGATCCAAGAGAAGGGAGCTTTCGCTTAACCTCGGACAAAAAATTAAGTTTGACTTGGATATAACATTTGAATAAAACGGATTTGGACGGGATGAAACAGAATATGTTGTCTGGAAAAACTGGTCAAATAGATCGGCAATTGACTGGGTAACAGGCTGATTTACGCTTAGTGTTAACAAAATTATAAAACTGTTTTGAATCTTGTGAAAATTTGACCCTACAACGAGTAAAATTTGACCGAGCCCTTAGGTATCGAGGGAAGGCAGATTGTCAACCGCACATTTTAAATTTATTTAAATGTCTGGACCTGGACAAAAGAATGGTTTTTATAGCCTTGCAGAGGGTATTATAATTTCAGTCAAAAGTTTGCAACGCAGTGAAGGAGACATTTTCGATCCTTCGATAAAGTATATATATGTATTCTTGATCAGCATCACCAGGAGAGTCGATCTAGCCATGTCCGTCTGCCCATTTCTACGCAAACTAGTCCATAAGTTTTAAAGCTATCTGCTTGAAACTTTTGAAAAAATTGTTTTTCTATTGCAGGTAGTATAGCTCCCATAGGAACAATCGGAAAAATTTTTTTTTTAAATCTAACTTTATTTTTAATTTTTTTTGCTATTTGGGATTTTGTAATATTTAAATACTATGGAATTTCGGTTTTGATTAAGGAGGTATATACCTTTTTCATTTTCAAAAAATTAAATTTTTTGCTTTATCTCAAAGAACAACTTTTTGAGAACATTTCCCCAAATTTGTATAGAGATTTGAGCAGTAGAAAAAAGTAACAGCGCTCCTAGCCGCGTGCATCGTCCCCGCCCAAACCCAAACTTGAAACGAATATCTCAAAATGGTTTTTTTGACAAATGACTTTGCGGTGATATGGATTGGCGAAAAAAAATTGTATTTCGCCGAAATAGATACTTTTGTAAGAATTCTAGCTTTCAAAAACTTAATTTTGAGCATAAAACGTTCCCGTATGCACGTTCAAGTACAGGATATTACTCTAAACTTATGAAATATTTTTATTTTTACGTATAGTTTCAGTTGACCCGTTCTTCCTGGGGAATTATCATCCCAAGGCTTTTTCAAAATAAGATGAAATCAAATTTTTATTTTTCTGTTTTTCAAAATATTCCTTTAAGATATAGTATTTATTTACTTTATCATAATAACGCTTTTAGTTTTGTCGGGCAACAATATCATATAGCCGCCATAGAAACGATGGTAAAATGCAGTGCAGAATCGAGATAACTTCATTGTTTTTAGTAATATAGGTCGAAATGTTTTGTAATAACTGCAAGGGTATATAAACTTCGGCTTGCCGAAGTTTGCTTCCTTTCTTGTTTAGCATAGTGTCACTTATACATTACTCAAAATCCTGCTGTTATCAGTCTTCATAAGAAACATCGATTTTGTACTTACCTTCTACTTTGCTTTTAAAAGTAGCATTTCCCGAATATGTTTCCAAAATTTGTGGAGAATGCATTGATGTATCTAGAAACATTCATATAATTACTCGTCAAAGAACAATGAGCGCTTTTTGAACACGAACCTGAACAAGACGATGTTGGTCTTGGAAAAGTTGTACGAGTAGCAAGTTCTCGATTTGTAGACGAATTTGAAAGATTACTCGTTGACGATTGCATTGAAACACTTAATTTTCTGCTCTGAATTTCATTGAAGAGTTCCTTGGTTGTCTTTACCTTTTTAACAGTTGAGCCACCAAAAAATATTTGCTGAGACAAACTCGATGACTCCTTGGCAATAACAGCGTCCACACCTTTAGATCCTTTTTTCCTTCCACGTCTTTTTGGAATTTGAGATTGACAAAAGTTTTCCAAATACTCAGGCCTGCTATTTGGATCATACCCTATACCAGCAGTAGGCATAGGCATCTGAGTTGCAGTTACATTGTGTAACCGCGCATCAATTACATTTTCAGGTTTCCTCACCTCCTCTACAGTTGAGGGAGATAGGCGACTACATGATGCACTTGAGTCGTAAGCATTATAATCATCAAATTTTTGTTTTCCTGACTCATTGCTTTGAAACACACTGTTGTGTCCCGCCAAAAAGCCTGAATTACTCTGGCTTAAAACGTCTAGTTGATTAACTGATTTAAATCTGCCAGTAAATGTCAACTCGCTGGAGCTTAATCGAGTTTTATGCTGCGAATTACCCAATGTAGCATCTCCAGATAAAATTGAACTTATAGAACTGTTCGATAGGGAAAAAATTTCTGCAAATAGAATCGAAATACAAAGTGAATGTATTAATCATAGCATTTAAAATGCAATGGTCAAGTAACCAAGCTTTATAGCAACTTGAGGGGTATTAAAAACGGACTTAATACAGTCGCGAACATGTTTAATATACTACATTTTTAATTCGTTACAGATAATAAGTTTTTAACGGAAATTTTTCCTAAATAGGGAGTTATTTTATTATTTGCAAAAATTAAGTCGTGAAATCGTACTTAAATTAATTTCGCTTTATTTGCAAAAGAAAGCAAAGTTTTAAGTACTCTCCACACTGCTTCTTGATTTCTGTCGAGTTAGCTATCGATTATTCCTTGATTAAACCTATCCACATAGGGCCAACTCCATAATTCTTGTTACGAACAGCTGTTCTTTTTGTTTCGATTTTTGATATAAAAAACAATTTAAAAATAGTTTGCCTGCCATTGCCGATATTCAAGTATTGACGACCGATGGGGAAAACATTTCCTGAGTTCTAGAATATTTCCTTAACGTCCAAAAAAATTGGACCAAACAAGGAGAAACGCTATAGACGAGTCCCACGACTATAAGATACTGTTAGTAAACTAACAAAAATAAATCAATCTTAGGAAGCGACATTTGCCGACAACACATACCCCATAATCTGAGTGTGACCAGCACCCTCTCCCCCCTCTAGTCATTAGTCTGCCCGTTTCTATGTTGTGCTATTTCACTTCTCGCGATCTCGTTTTTTACGCACATTGGGAAATAGGGCTCCGCGCGTCACAAGCACTGCTTGGTGTCGTAAGGGCCAGAAAAAAGCTTAAGAAAACCCAGAACTTTCATGTTAGATCACAAGATCTCTAGCCCTTATAGTTTCCGAGATTTTAACGTTCATACGGACGGACAGACAGACGGACAGACAGACGGACAGATAGACGGACATGGCTTAATCGTCTTGGCTATTGATCCCGATCAAGAATGTTACATACCTTCCAACCAATACAATCTACCCTTTTACTCTACGAGTTATTAAATAGTAGCAGGGTATTATAGTACGGTATTTAAGGAATATAATAGCTTTAACACTGCACGGATAAACTCTTTTGACCATACCGCCAGAATGCATATATATGCAAGCTATATTCATATATACATAGTCAACAGCAACAGAAATGTGTCCTTCCTATTGACTGAAATTATAAACCCTTTCCAAGGTCATAAAGGTCAATTATTATATTATATTATTATATAATATTATATAAATATTTTAAAATTATAAAAACCGTTCGCTTTATGAGAGTAATCACTCTTCTCTTAGTGAGACTAGTATATAGTATTAGCTAAAATATTAATCTTTTCTGAAAAATATTGTTAAAACCTTTATTGTTTACGTCTCCCCGAGGAGAAAACCCAAGTGCAAGGATAGTTTGAAGAGATGTAGCAAATATATATTTTTATAATGGCAGATAATTATTTTTTGTCTTTACAAATTACTGGAGCAAGAAAATTAAATTAATCACATCTACTATAAATGGAGACAAATCGATTTTTTAACTTTTATTCAATTTGGTTGCGTTTCTTGGATATCAATCCTTCTATCAATGATAGTCCTAATTTTTTTTCGGTTTTAACGGGTTTAACTTTTTTTATTTAAATAAAAATAATGTTTTCATTTTTCATAGCCGCGCTTTTTTAAGAAGTTTAGGCCCCAGAACCCTTATCCCACTGCTCAAAATAAGCAAATAATATGTTTGCTGTGTTAACAACATCGTTACCCCTTTAATGGTTTGAGATGACTGCTTGAGAGTTGGAAGAAAACGCAAATACAAATGTATCATACCTGAATCTGGTGCTAGTGTCGACTGTAGCAAACCGTCGCTGCCTTTCGCACCGAATCTTAAGTTTTGTCCGATTTGGCCGTCTCTATCTTTACTTTTTTTTTCCTTTTTTAATTTTTTCTGTCGAGAACTCGGTGTGGTTGGAACTACAAGAGGCACGGGGACATTCAAATTGGATTTTTCTCGTTTCGGCGCATAGTGGTTGTCATTTTCATCAGAATCTGATACAATGTCGATCACAACTGAAGCTTCGTTTATCTTCTCGGTACTAACATTGTTTAAATTTAAAACGGAATTCAAAGACGGTTGAGGAGATCCCTTATGCCTATTTAAAATAGGCTGCGATTGGCGTCGCTCCTTACGACTGTGCACTGTTGTTAAAGAGTTGTTTTCATCACGTTCGCAATTATTAACAAGATTTAAGAAGTTTGTGTGAGCCTGTGTGTGCACACTTAATGGCGGAGGCTCGGAAAGGTCGGCATTTGATTGCTCGTCAGAAATAATTTGCTTCGATGGCAGTGATTGCGAGAACGGAAAATGTTCTACTGACTCGCTTAAGTGACTGTCTGGGGCTGCCGCGTCGGACTTCACAAAATTTGACGATAACTGAGTTGGCAGGGAAGGAATTTGACTGGGATGTTGCATATTTTCTGTAGCCGATTGCTGAATTCCCACCATTTCTCGCCACTTTTTTAGCAAGGACTTTGCACGTCGAGCAAGGGATTCATTCTTGGTTCTTCGTCTGAGTTGATTTATGTATTTGGCCAATCTGGTGGCCTCCAGTTGTTCCTTGGTGATTGTTGTGCCTTCCAATGCACATATAACAGAAAGCACTGCCTCCATATTGACGACCTGAAAACATGGCTCATATATTTAGACCAATTAATGGGAAATTGGTAAAGTTCCTTACATCGTAGTTCTGATCAAGTGCCTGAGATAGGTGAGTGGTAAGTTGTTGGATTTGGTTTTGGTTCATTTATATCTTCCGGATTGCACGGCCCCTGATCCAGATCCAAGGAACGGCGGGAACTGACCAAATTGTTTACATGAAAAATTATGTACATATGTTAAAAATATACATTTTTTATATTTATTTTTCCGTAATTTTTGTATTACAAAATATTGAAAAACTATTATAATCAAAACAAAACCAAACGATTACAACGTTAAAAGATGGTGCAAAATAAATCAAACGAATCGGTTTCTTAACGACTAAAGGATTTATAAATTATAATGTAATTAATGTATGCAATGAACGTCTGTAAAACACACACACAAACGCACGATATATCATGGCTACACATTATGCTTACAAATTATAGGTACACAACTTAATTAAAAAATAAGTGTATCCTCGGCGCACTTCCTTGAATACGGAAATGTTTATATTCGTCACAAAATAAAGAAAATTAATAATTTATTTTCAATTCCCCGACTCTATCACTATTCGCCATTTTCACCATTGACAGCTGCACTTGGGTGAGAGCAAATTATAAATATAAATATCGATATTTTTTGACGTTTGTTAAACTTAAATTAATATATGCTGTTGACACTATGCACATCAACAATCGATATTTAAGGACTGACTCATACGTTAAATACATTGGTTGGAACCCATTCACACTGGAACCTGCTGTTGCTAAAGCACCTGATTAGCCTACAAGAAATTAACAAAGCAAAAATAAGAAACTAACCTGAAAATGGAAAATGACGCCAAAGCAAAATTTAATTTTAGTTTTAAATAATAAATTATTTACTGCTGATGGCAAATGGGTGAAGGAGGATAATTGTACTTAGACGACAGTTCCGAACATGGCATCCGAAATTGGTACACAACAATATTGGAGAGGAAGAGACCACTACCTAATGTCATATATAACGATTTTTTTGAGCTCCTTGGATGTCTTCCAAAAATACTATTTTCGCCCTAGACGCTCCAAGATACCTTCCTTTGCTTTCCCGACAAGTTCACCATTATTTATTTATCTTAAATAAAATTTTGTTTTCATTGGTTTATTTATGTACATTTATTGGCATTTCCCTTTAATAAACTAAGTCCATAAGCCATTTCTTATTTGAAAAAATAAAACAAATAATACCTATTAAAGATCCCATAAATATCATAAAAACACTGAATTTCCTCCGCATCACACTAATCGCAACAGCAAGTTTTGTTCGTTATTTTCCAGCACATGTACATAACATTGTGAAATGGATTGCTGTTGCAGAAACACCGCCTGTGTGAATAGGCTTTTATACTTACGGGAGTTTCTTATCGTAATCGGAAATAACTCAGTCAGGCAGAACTTCCGTTGTAAAGCCTAGTACTCAGATCGACGAAAACCGTACGCCAGTCATGGGAGAGAGCGAGAGGCAAACAGCTGACGTTCACTTTTCGTCGGGCTTTTTTTTCACCTCGGTACTCAGCTCGACGAAAAAAATTGCCAGTCTGCTGAAATGAACTTTGGGTGAACCCTAGCGAAAAGAATACAAAATTTAATCGTTTGGCGTGCGCTTCTCACTGAACATTTTAAAAAATGGAGGGAAAAAATTAAAAAAAAACCGGAAAACTCGATTGCAGGAGTTTACATGTGAGGACCAAATAAGATTAATACCATCTGGGGTGGCTCTTGTCAGAGCAAATAGTTTATTTGGTCAAAAATGTATGAAAAAACAGTTGTTTTTTTAATTTACTGATAATTAATCAATTTTATTATTCTGTTCCCATGTCCGTATTGGTCGTCGTAAATCGACCGAACTTCAGAATAAAATCCCAAATATGTATTTAGCGAAAGTGTTATATTATTTTTATCGTCTGTTTTTTATGATCGTATGTATTCATTAAAAGTTCTACGACTTCTCTTAATTGCCTAATGTTGATGTTAAATTTTTAATTTTTAAGTATTTACATAGGTCATAAATTAAAGGGTGTCCCAACAAGAGTGTCAAGAAAAAAATTATTTCGGTTCCTTATTTCGAAAGAAATAAATACCGAAGATGCCGCCATGCGATAATCCACACCACACATTCAGTTTTGCTGGGTACTGGACTACCTCTACAGTCTGTTGTGGATTGTGCGGTGCACAGGAACGGCAATTTGGCAAAAATTGGCCTCGTCGGAGATTATTTTTTGCCAAAATCCGCATCTTCGGCCAACACCTGCAGAGCCCAGTTGGAGAACGGCGATTTTCGCGGTCTTCTGGCTTCAGTTTTTGCGTCAACACGATCTTATACGTGTGTAGACCAATATCCAGACGCAAAATTCGGTGGGTGGTAATTCTGGATTGGCCTAAACCAGCTGACCGGCGACGAACCGACTCATTCGGGTCTTCCTCAACACTGGACGCTACGGCGGCTATATTTTGTACACTGCGACCAGTTCGCATTCTGGTTGGCTTTTTAAGATCCAGAAGAGTGTACTCACGCTCAAACTTTTGCACAGTGCGACGAATTTTTTTTTCTATATTCGTTTTTATTATTCAACATAGTTCCCTTCAAGAGCGATACAACGATTATAACGACCTTCCAATTTTTTGATACCATTTTGGTAGTACTCCTTCGGTTTTGCCTCAAAATAGGCCTCAGTTTCGCCGATCACCTCTTCATTGCAGCCAATTTTTTTCCCTGCGAGCATCCTTTTGAGGTCTGAGAACAAGAAAAAGTCGCTGGGGGCCAGATCTGGAGAATACGGTGGGTGGAGAAGCAATTCGAAGCCCAATTCATGAATTTTTGCCATCGTTCTCAATGACTTGAGGCACGGTCCGTTCTCTTGGTGCAACAACACTTTTTCATATGGCTCTTCTTCATATGGGTCCGTTTTGCCGCGATTTCGACTTTCAAACGCTCCAATAACGCCATAATAGTCACTGTTGATGGTTTTTCCCATCTCAAGATAATCGATAAAAATTATTCCACGCGCATCCCAAAAAACAGAGGCCATTACTTTGCCAGCGGACTTTTGAGTCTTTCCACGCTTCGGAGTCGGTTCACCGGTCGCCGTCCACTCAGCCGACTGTCGATTGGACTCAGGAGTGTAGTGATGGAGAAATGTTTCACCCATTGTCACATATCGACGCAAAAACTCGGGTGTATTACGAGTTAACAGCTGCAAACACCGCTCAGAATCATCAACACGTTGTTGTTTTTGGTCAAATGTGAGCTCGCGCGGCACCCATTTTGCACAGAGCTTCCGCATATCCAAATGTCGATGAATGATATGATCAACACGTTCCTTTGATATCTTTAAGGCCTCTGCTATCTCGATCAACTTTATTTTACGGTCATTCAAAATCATTTTTTTTGATGTTTTCGACGGTAACCACCTCTTTCGGGCGTCCACTGCGTTCACCGTCCTCCGTGCTCATTTCACCACGCTTGAATTTTGCATACCAATCAATTGTTGATTTTCCAGGGGCAGACTCCGGAAACGCATTATCAAGCCAAGTTTTCGCTTCCACTGTATTTTTTCCCTTCAGAAAACAGTATTTTATCAAAACACGAAATTCCTTTTTTTCCATTTTTTTCACAATAACAAAAGTTGCTTCACAAAAGACGCTCTATCTCACAAACTAATTGACTGACAGACGTCAAATTTTGACACGAATCATTTGAAGGTTAGTACTATATAAAAATAATATGCATTCAATACTAGCGACGCCATCTATGTGTCAGACCGGGGACTTATCAGCCATTATTATAATGTATAATTATTATAATGTATTCCCACAGAGATACATCCGTTGAACGGATGGTCCATAAGGTTTTGCCGTTTCATTTCCCATCCAAATTTGACGGACTTTTTTATGCGATAGTTAGGCAATGTTTTTTCGGTGCAACTCTGAGTTCTTCTTCTTGACAGTGAAAAGTAAATCATTCACCACGAAAATTAAAAAAATAATGGCGGGTAACTTATACATGTAACATGTACATACATAATTACTTAATTACTGCTCCATCCGTGTGGCAGCATTAGGTGTTGCTCCACTCTTTCCCAGGCGCAAACCGTAGTCACGACATGGAGCAGACCATTTAAAATGAAATAAAATATGATATTATAATAAAACAAAAAAAAAAACAATTATATATAATGAACTTGATTTGTTACCATTTAGACAATATTGGGCAATAGCTGTTCATATTTTGTCTGCAGGCTGGCAAAAATCTGCAGACGTATTAGTTCGATTTGGTTGTTCGCGTAGATCACTTGCAGTCTGTTACCAAGTATCATTTATACGGGCTAAAATGATGAGCCACAACTGTTCAGATCAGCTGTTATCGGATGGTGGATGGTGGATGTGCTCTGTGGGAATCGGAGTTTCACATTTGTCAAAAATCCCAACCGTTTCAGACGGATGGACTCTATGGGAAGAGGGCATAATCCAATTTTGTTGTACCATTTTTGTAAGGGCTAATTCCGACGCTTGCCCACTGTTAAGCGATTTTTTAAAACCGATTTGGACGATTTTTATAAAATTTGGAGTTTATATCAATAAAGAGACGTCCTCAAAGCTGATGCAACGTGCATCTTGGCACATGCTCTGTGGGTTGAGATATTCTCCAAAGTGTTGGAAATCGATTTTTCAAATGCATTTTTTAAATACTTGCTCAATTTTATTTTTTATTTTGTTGTTTTTTAATTTTTGCATTTAGAAGTCAAATCAAAGAATAAAAGCAGCCCTCATGTTAAAAACCACCATCATTCCGCCATCGACGCTAAGTCAACGGCGCTAATTTGACGCACATTGCATATTCATTTCCATTCTTGGATTTGGGTAGTGGAACAATGTTGTCTACTATCACGCTGACGAATGCATATATTGTTCCTATGGGAGCTATATGATATAGTCGCCCGATCCGGCTCGACTTATATACTACATGTAATATAAAGACATCTTTTGAAAAAGTTTCAAGCAAATAGCTTTAAAACTGAGGGACTAGTTTGCGTAGACGGACGGACGGACGGACATATCTTGATTGACTCTTCTCCTCTGCAAGGGTATTATGACCTATGTGAGCTCCATTAATTTGTACACTAGCCTTCACGGACAAAATTTCTCTTACAAGATTGGGCAGTGTTTTAGACTTTGACCGTGTGACAGTAATGAATCTATTCAGTCTTCTTCTGTTCATAGGGCTGTATAGAGTCAGGGGAAATCTGTTATGTGACGTTCTGTAACAGACAGATGTACAGACAGGATTAATTTTAAGATATCAAAATCTAGTGGCTTGGCATGATTCAATTATAAGTGCTACACGTAG